GAAATAAAGTTAAAAAACATCCATATTACTCCAGGATCATGTTCCAACTTGCTTAAGAGGATCTTCGACCTCTCTAACCTTCTAACTTTATGTCCTGAATTAACAAGGTGCCTCACATGTTTTACGTACTATTTCATTTCCAACTCTTTTGTTCACTGCTTTTTGGACTGTCATAGCTGAAACTCCTACTATCTACTCTCGCTATTTCTAGTCTATCCTCTATCACTATACGGACCGCTATTCTCTACTCTATTCACTATACTATTTCTCTATTCGGATCACTATACGGGTTACTATTCGAGCTAGTATTATGGAGCAAGTAATAATAGTGCGAGTGTTATTCGAAGGCGTCTGACATCAGTATTGTTTAACGGCGTTACTATAGTTGCATCTGCGATTACAAAGTCACTACTACAACGAGTATTACGAAAATGACAATGAGTATTTGTTGACATTGCAAAAGTGTCAAACGAGTGTTCGTTCACATCACAAAAGGAAGTGAATGCAGACCAGTTTCCCAACGGATGAGAAAACTGGAGGCAACGGAAATGTGGTTCTACAGAAAGATATTGAGAATTCTATTATCAGAGCGAGTAATCAGCCCCACAGTCTTGAGAAGATAGCAAAAAAAGTGCATATGCTCAGAATCAGGAAGAGATACCTGAATTTTCTTGGACACATAATGAGGAAGGAGGGCTTGGAAAACATAACCCTCACAGGGAATACAGGGAGCAAAAGAAATAGGGGGAGGCAACGAGCCACTTACCTGACGTGCAAAAAGAGAAAATGCCAAGGGTCAAAGGGCAGAGGAAGTTTTGGAGAGCCATGATTACCAATGTCGTAAAGGGATACGGCACGCAGAAGAAAAAGAAAAAAGGTTCAAGTTATGTTTTTTTTGGGGGTGGGGGGGAATGATACCCCCCCCCAAGCAAGGCGGGAATGCCACTAGCACATATTCGTTTACATTACAAAAGTAACAACGAGTGTTCGCTGACATCACAAAAAATTTAAACACTTCTATTACGACCAGTGAATTCTCTGTTGCGAGCTATCTTCATCGCCGAAAATATTCTAGTATACATATGCATGATCTTTGTGTTTACATCTGGAGAAATCTTTGTCTCTTGAGTCCCCAGATAATACTTTCATGTGCCTTCGACTTTCTTTATTGTACTCTGCTAATTATTTTCATTTATCTCCGCCATACTTATCACCATTGTAACTTATTAGACATTGTTGTTAGGCAAAATATCTGACACTATTGAACTGGCTCTCTACATTTCTCTGTGAACATTTTTTTCTAGTGAATTTTAATGCTGATCCTATCAAGTATCTGAATCATTCTAATGCTGCCGATATTTTGACTTTCAATTTTTAGTTTACTTAATATTTCAGTCAAAATGAAGAAGAGACTCGAGGCGACAGAGATGTGGTTCTGCAGAAGGATGCTAAGGATATCATGGACCGAGCGTGTGAGCAACGATGAGGTCTTAGAGAGGATGCAAACAAGGAGGAGGCTTATACTTAATATCAGGAAGAGGCAGCTGAAGTTTCTGGGACACATAATGAGGAAGGTGGGCCTGGAGAATCTGATACTCACGGGTCGAATAGAAGGAAAGAGAAGTAAGGAAAAACAATGCGTGACATACCTGACGGGCTTAAGCAAGTGGATGACAGAACGTGTTCTGGATGAGGTGGCAGAGGGATAAAACTTGCTGAGAGCTGCAAGGAATGAGGAGAAGTAGAGAGCCGTGATCGTCTACGTCCTGAAAGGACATGGCACATAAAATGAGAGTAGATTTCCATAGTTTACCTAGTAATTCTGATGAACATGTGTCTTTATGGGATCGTTTCTTGACCTCCTCTCCTAGCTCTTGTCGAGCATCACAAATCACTCCTCTTGATAGTTTTGGTCACGCTGTAGTATCTGTTGATATTTCTCTTGAACTTCCTACTCACAAAACTTCTTTTTTTTTTTTGGCAGCGTATCAATTTGGATCAATTTCATGATTTTATACGCGACCCCACCTTGGAGTGAAAGTTTTAGCCTTACCATTGAAAGTTCTGTCATTGAGGTATCAATATTTTAGGCTATTTACTTTGTTCACACCTGCCAGTTCAGCCGGTATGACCCACAGAAATTACTTTTTTCTGGCTGTACCAACATGACAGTTCTACTTACATTAGATGGCTATTTTTATCTGCACGTAATAATTGTGAACGTGTCTTCAATATTTTTTTTATCGCAGATAGATTGAGGTACTGTATAGACTCTAAAATATTTCATTCTCTGGATTACTGGTAGCTCTGCAATATCTTTTTTTCGAATGTTATATAATTATTCTGATAACTTTATCAAAATAAGTTTATTGAGCTTTATATTTTGGAATTACATAATTTACTTTATATCCTTATTTTTCCTTGATAAAATGTTCTTTGAAGCTTTAAAATAAACAGTTATTTCACATTTAGACTTTTTATTAACATCGTTCTGATCTTTATGCTCGCTACTGTATATCAATCTATCTTTCTATGTTCGTATCTATCTATCTATCTATCTATCTATCTATCTATCTATCTATCTATCTATCTATCTCAGTCTGTTCATTATCTATCTATCTATCTATCTATCTATCTAAGTCTGTTCATATATATATATATATATATGTACGTCTCTCTCTCTCTGTCTATCTTTGTATCTAAGTCTGTTCGTATCTATCTATCTATCTATCTATCTATCTATCTATCTCGGTTTGTTCGCATCTCTCTATATATATCTACGTATCTCTATCTTTCTATCTAAATCTGTTCGTATCTATCTATCTATCTATCTATCTATCTATCTATCTATCTAAGTCTGTTCGTATATCTCTCTCTATGTACGTATCTCTCTCTCTCTCTCTTTCTATGTACGTATCTCTCTCTCTCTCTATCTCTCTATCTATCTATCTATCTGTTTTTATCACTTTGAAAGTTATTTTTGAGTGGAAGATCCGTTTATTTAAAGTAGTAATTTCTTCTAACGGCCTGAATATTCGAGAAATCTTATTAAAGAAAAATATGCCTTCAGGTAGAATGTAACCCAAACGTTCTAACGCCCTATTCAAACTCTTTTCTCCAGTCTTTTTGTCCCCACTTTTTCTTCTGTCCCTAGCTCCGCAAGCTTCAATCATTAATGCCGACCTTACGCGTCATTTTGGTTTTCTTTTAAGGATACGAAACTACGTCCCTCTTTGCTGAACAAACTGTCGTTCCGGCCGACGTGCTTTAACCAACTCGGCTACGAAGGCCATTTTGATTAAACAAGGCTATATACTGCCTTTTAAGCACATCTTTCACGTTTAAATTCCCAAAAGTTCACGATTCCTCAGTTTCGTATCCAAAATGAAAAAAGAAGAAGCAATGTCTGAAGAAATAAAGAATTTTTAAAAATTTGTCATTTCGAAATATTTTTATTACGTTAAAAGTTATTAAAGTAGATACCTCTATTTTTCCTTAATAAGATTTTTCGAATATACATATGATAAGCGAAATCAAATATAGTTTAAAATAGACTGGGCATCCATTCAGATATATCTATCCATTAAAATAACGTTTAAAGTGATATAAATATGTCGGATTTATAAATAAATAAAAAATTCCATTGTTTCTTAAAAAAAAATATATATATATATATATATATATATATATATATATATATATATATATATATATTTTGTTGGATAGATGTGAGTTTGTGACCCTGGGTTTCACGCTTTAGCGATCGTCAGGGTTTGTCTGACAATCGCTAAAGCGTGAAACCCAGGGTGACAAACTCACATCTATCCAACCAAATATGTTAGCTCTATCTCTGATTTTGAGCGCTTTCTAATAAGTACGCGTATATAATATATAAATAATTATACATATATATTTATTTATATTTATATACACTTTTCACACACACACACACACACACACACACACACACACACACACACACACACACACACACACACATATATATATATATATATATATATATATTACACAACAACATCCAAAAACCTCATAAGTGGTGGGGGTCAGATCTATTTAAGCCACCGCAAAGTACGTCGGTCTGATTTAACCTTGATGAATGGATTGTGCTCGTGTGGAATTAGAGAGTAGTCAAAGTTAAATTTGAAATCTCTAATTCCGATAAGAGCACAGTCCACCCACGAGGGTTGGATAAGACCGACGTACCTCGCGTTGGCTGAAATAGATCTGACCACCCCCCATATGAGGTTATTTGGGATTTCGTTGTGTAATTTATATGCTCTGTTATAATAAATACATCAAGATCTTTTGTGGATCAGTTTTAATATTTGATATTATTAGGCCACTTAGATTATATACCAACAAATTTATTACCTGTATTTTATATATATATATATATATATATATATATATATATATATATATATATATATATATATATATATATATATATATATATTGCAGTAGAGCCTGGGGGATGTCACAGTAACAGATAGATCAAGTATCAACCATCATAAAGACTGAAAAATAAAATTAACAAAGATTATTGTTCAAGGTTGACGGACACGCATGTCTTAATTAGTTTTTTGTTTTTTTTTACGAATTGGTCAAACCCAAAAAAAACATTGTTTTCAATCGTTACTTAAGAGTCTATCGATTGAATATAATTTTATTATAAACAATTGTCTTGTAAATGGAATTTTTAAAGCATTCTGGATGTAAAAATAAAGAAAAAAGTGTGCAAGACAATAAGAAACACTACCTGTCAAAAAAAGTGAAGTTTTGTTGAAATCAGTTGAAAAATGTAGGAAATCCGATCCCATATATAAACGAACACACACACACACACACACACACACACACACACACACACACACACACACACACAACCTGTGTTTTATAATAAGTATAACTCGATATGAGTTGTCCTCCTTTCATTCTGTCGACACAATCGTGTTTTATCGTGTTTTCAAATTGATTTCGTGCAAAAACAATTGTGTTTTTCCAATTTTGGGCTCTGTCAGAACCACCGCAAGGTAATTTTACGCAGTCCTGTGAAGGTTTGTTGAAATCAGTTGAAAAATGTAGGAAATCCGATCCCATATATAAACGAACACACACACACACACACACAACCTGTGTTTTATAATAAGTATAACTCGATATGAGTTGTACTCCTTTCATTCTGTCGACACAATCGTGTTTTATCGTGTTTTCAAATTGATTTCGTGCAAAAACAATTGTGTTTTTCCAATTTTGGGCTCTGTCAGAACCACCGCAAGGTAATTTTACGCAGTCCTGTGAAGGTTTGTTGAAATCAGTTGAAAAATGTAGGAAATCCGATCCAATATATAAACGTACAGATACACACACACAATCTGCGTTTTATAATAAGTAAGATATAGCTAGGAAAAAGCAAAATTTATATGGCATTTTAAAAAGCTAAAAAAGAACAACCGGTTTCGTCCCAAGTTTATTTTCAGGGATATAAAATATATATATATGCGCGTAAATTAAATTAATATAACCAATGGAAGAGGAAAAAAATTATGAATTTCAAGAAACTAGAGTCCAATAACATTACGAGACAGTAAGCATTCCCTCTGTTTATAAAGGGAAGGCCTTCGGGATCTGATATACAAGGACTCTAGAACATTGAGACGATGTGAGGAGAGGGACATAGATAAAATCGAGAAAAGTCACCACTAAAATCAACCACACAATTCCTGCTATTTATTACATGTTCAGCAATAGCAGAGCTAGAAGTATTCTAAAGTCCTTGTATATCAGATGCCGTGGGCCTTCCTCTTGTAAACAGAGGGAATGCTGACTGGCTCTAAATGTTATTAGACTAGTTTCTTGAAATTCATATTTTACTTCCCTTCCTTTCGTTATATTAATTTAATTTACATGCTTATATATTTTTAATATCTATCTATCTATCTATCTATCTATCTATATATATATATATATATAATTTATTCGAAAATTATAACATAAAGATGTTATAAAATCCCTACAAAAATAGCCATTTTGTTTCAACACATCTGGTGTGTTATCAAGTGGAGTTGAATGTAGAATAAAATAGTTTTTCCTCTTTATTCAACACCATTACTTGATAAGACAACAGAAATGATGAAACAAAATGGCTATAGTTTATGTTATAATTTTCGAATAAATAATATTTGCTCTACCCTGTATTGAGCACTCTTTTAAAAATAGTATTTTTGCTTATTCCGTTTAAACCAATTCTATACTTGGGTATATATATATATATATATATATATATATATATATATATGTGTGTGTGTGTGTGTGTGGATGTGTGTGTTCACTGATTCCCAGTAATGAGACAGTGTGTATGTGTGAAGAGGGGATATACACATATATACACGCATACTGAAAAAAACACACAAAAATGGAAATAGATCTAAAAACACACAGGGGTCATTAAAAGATAAGAATGCCGATGACTACTCCATCATTTCTCGGACCAATCTCCATTGTTTTATAACCCTTCACGCAGAACTCTTCACTGTCAGTTCAAGGAAGAAGTTTGGATCAGTATAACAAAAAAAGAGAATGTCTCATATCGAGAATATTTAACATCGGAAAACAAGAAGGAAAAAAAAAATATTTAATAACATGTGGAAATCTCCACCTTTTGCCTGATGACGGTCGCGAGACGGGAAACACTTGTAGCAAAAATTATGGAAAATAAAGCATAATATTTTTTGTAAAAATCCACATTACAACCAAAAACGTTTGCGGTTTCTCTCTTCTTTTTTATATATATATATATATATATATATATATATATATATATATATAAGAAGAGAAAGAACAAGTTTAGAATCAACAGTTCTCAGGCATTTACTTTCTTAAAAAAGTGATCAATACAGACGTAGAATATAATATTTTAATGGCATATTTATTAAAAAATATTTTAAATTGCTACATGGAAATTTCTGTTTCGGGAATTAAAGTTTTTAATTCGACATGAGGCAAAGTTTGGTAGGTTTGTTGAGGAAAAAATCGATACACCTAATTCGCTTATATCCGAGTTAGTACAAAATGACTGTTCTAGATGCAACAAGGAACTTTTTTGTTTGATTTTTATCTCGTCATCAGGTAATATATATATATATATATGTGTGTGTGTGTGTGTGAGTGTGTGTGTATAAATGGCCTGACGATTGCGTCTAGCATGAAACAGCCTGTCGCCTCTAAATGTTGACTATCTCTGATATTGAGCACTTTATCCCATAAATATAGCACACCTTAAGAGTATATTTCTTCATATATATATATATATATATATATATGCATATATATGAAAAATGTCTCAGAGTTGACCTGTAGAAAAAGACAATATATATATATATATATATATATATATATATATATATATATATATATATGTAAAGGTAAAAGACAATAGGAAAATAGTATTATTAGCCGACGCGTGTCGTCCAATGTGGACTTTTTCAAGGCAAAAACGGAATGAATTTATTGAAAACAAAAATATAACTATTAACAATAAAACAAAATGACTTTTACCTTTATAAATATTATCTTTTTCTACAGGTTAACTCTTAGAAATTTTTACATATATATATATATATATATATATATATATTCATACATGTTTCATTAAATAATATAGACAAGTGTTGTCTATTTATTTTATGTAAATTCTTTTCATATCGTCTGATAAGCTTAATAACATTATCATTGAACGAAGAAAGAAAATCACAATATTGATACATATTTTTTAATCCTATCTAAGCTTTGGGCTTACATAAGCCATTATCAAAGATGGCAATTACATTACAATATATTAAGCAATACACGGACAAGACAGTGATGATAGTCCGTTTCTGTTGACATGGATGATTTCCAAGCAACGATAATCTCGTGCATATAAGACACTGGAAGCGAAAATCGCACTGCAGCTCATGATGTCACACATGACCATGCAAGAGTGAATTCGAGAAGTATTAAGTATGGGAAGCCGTCGGTATAAACCAATGGCTTCTGTTACCAATTATAGACATTTAAGAATATTTGTGGAGATTTTGTAGTTTATTTTGTTCAGGTTAAGTTTCACCTGTTTTATGTATATAGCTTCAAGAATTTTTAGTTTTTGTTTATTGTTTTCATGTTTAAGTATAGTTGTGTTTTCAACAAGGATTTTCCGGAATTGTATACGCGGCCAGGTACGTTGTTTTTAACATTGTTTAATACTGTAATGTAATTGTCATCTTTGATAATGGCTTATGAAAGCCGAAAGCTTAGATTGGATTAAAAAATATGTATCAATATTGTGATTTTCTATCTTGGTTTAATGATAATGTTATTAAGCTTATCAGACGTTATGAAAAGAATTTACATAAAATAGACAACACCGGTCTATATTATTTAATGAAACATGTATGAATGAAAAAATGCTGCCTAAATACACATAATTTTATATATATATATATATATATATATATATATATATATATATATATATATATGAGTGTGATCTGTACAAATAAGACATTTGCCAATCGTTTCGTCTTCTGCGTAATCAGTAAGCACCTTTTCCCGTTCACGTACCTGTCTACAAATCAGCTAGTCAACTAAGTGACCAGAGGCGTTCTGTCAGACTCCGTGTCATCATACACTTTGCAAATGGCAGCGGCAATAAATTATAGATGTCTTCCTTCGTAACAAACAGTCAGTCGAGACGAGCACAGACAAAGTCCACGTCAACCTTGAGGCGCAGAGATTTTACGGTTTCATTTACACCAAATTGGGAGTGGGGTTTGGCAGGTTTAGGAAATTGCTACCAAGCCAATTCTTTGCGAGTTCATGCCTTGTTAAAAGCATCTAAAACAGTCACTTTCTAGTAGCTCGGATATAAACAAAATAGATGTATCGATCTATATGTTTGACTTTTTGCCATTGTTATAATAATAGTTTATTGATATCTATCTATCTATCTATCTATCTATAACGCAGTTCCTATCGATCTCATTTTCTTAACGCAGTTCTATATCTATTTTTCTTAACGATTTCTATTTATCTGTCCATTTTCATCTATCATATCATCTATCTATCTATCTATCTATCTATCTATCTATCTATCTGCGCCTATTCATACTTCTCTTTATCTATCTATCTATCTATCTATCTATCTATCTATCTATCTATCGCGCAGTTCGTATCTATCTAATTTTTCTTAACTATTTACCAATCTATCTATTTCACTCTGTTCATACCTATCTATCTGTCTATCTATGTATGTTCATATCTATCTATCTATCTATCTATCTATCTATCTATCTATCACGCTGTTCCTATCTCATTTTTCTTAACGATCTATCTATTTATCTATTTCACTCTGTTCATATCTATCTATCTATCTATCTATCTATCTATCTATCTATCTATCTATCAATGCAGTTCCTATTTATCTCATTTTTCTTAACTATTTACTCATCTATCTATTTCCCTCTGTTCATAGCTTGCTATCTATCTGTCTCTCAATCTAACTATGTTCGTCCATATCTATCTATCTATCTATCTATCTATCTATCTATCTATCTATCTATCTATCTATCTATCTATCTATCTCAACCTGTTCGCCATATTTATATGTATCTTTCGCTCTTGTTATCTATATCTACCTATAAAAAAACTGTACCAAATAACAGAAACCATATCACTTGCGGACTACCAACAGCTGCAATAACTAAAAGGAATAGCACATGTAAATCGAGAAAAGAAACTCATGATCAATATTAACATCCACCCGACTGCAAACAAAAGATTAGGAAAGAAAGTTTCATCAATACTGGAAAGATCGATAACACCTACTATAGTTGAGAAATCTGTTTTCCTGAAAGCAGTACTAGCTGCTCAGTCGATGAATGCCGATTATTTCCTTGAAGGGAAACGACAATACAACCATTACCATTCATATTTTGTTGATGTTTTTTTCGATCTATCTATCTATCTATCTATCTATCTATCTATCTATCTATCTATCTATCTATGTCATTCTGTTCGTATCTGTCTACCTATCTATCGATTTATCTATTTCATTCTGTTCATAGCCAGCTATCTACCTATCTGTCTGTTTGTATATTTCTATATGTTCATATCTATGTTCATATCTATCGATCTGTCGATCTATCTAGCTATTTCACCCTGTCCGTATCTATCTATCTATCTATCTATCTATCTATCTATCTTCTATTCATCTATCTATGTCATTCTGTTCTATGTTACCATATCTATCGATTTCATCTGTTCGATACCTATCTGTCTAGCTATTTCATATCCCTGTCTGTCGATCTATCTAGCTATTTCACCCTGTCCGTATCTATCTATCTATCTATCTATCTATCTATCTATCTATCTATCTATCTTCAGCCAAGCTGGCCCAAATGTAATGCCCCGTATTTCTTTATATCTTAGGTGTGCCCATGCGGTCCGGACAGTGTTCGGTTTCCAAACACCATCGTCCTGTCCTGCACCCCGGTGTGGTCACTCCAGACTCACTCTCTCCTCCTCCTCCTCCTCCTCCTCCTACTACTACTACTACTAATAATAATATCTATCTATCTATCTATTTTTTTTTATCTATCTATCTATCTATCTATCTATCTATCTATCTATCTATCTATCTCGGTCTGTTTATATCTATCTATCTATCTATCTATCTATCTATCTATCTATCTATCTATCTATCTATATATTTCGGTCTGTTTACATCTATCTATCTATCTATCTATCTATCTATCTATCTATCTATCTATCTATCTATCTATTTCGGTCTGTTTTTTTTCCTATCTATCTATTTCGGTCTGTTTTTTTTCTATCTATCTATCTATCTATCTATCTATCTATCTATCTATCTATCTATTTCGGTCTGGTTTTTTTTTTCTATCTATCTATCTATCTATCTATCTATCTATCTATCTATGATCGAATCGACTTATCGTATTCGTTTTGCAACATAAATTCAAAATGAACCGACCATTGATCAGATGGACAAAAGACCTATGGACGAAGTGAGAAAAGCAAAATGGTTCAACGAATTCTTCATTTAATCCCTCGCCCTGCAGGCCATGATGATTAGTCCGTAGACTTAAATTCTGGCAATAGTTTGTTCAATTCGTGTCTCACATGAGCAGAACCATCATTTTTCCCGAGCATTAACAAGTCGGAACCCCTTCTTATGCGCAGGTACCCTTTCCGCACGTGTACATTATCGTAAATCACTGTGCAACACAGCCTATCGAATTCTGAAGCGAAGTCGAAGTTCTCTGTCTCTAATCAAGCCAAACGAGAATTATGATTTATTTGGCTGGTTAGCGTCCGTTAGCCTGGCTTTTCGCTCTGTCGATTGACCAATGACCAGTTTTCTTCCATAATGCCAGCTTTTAAATCACTGACCACGAGTCCGTTGCTCATTTAGCAGTTGACTAGTCACGTTCAAGTTTTTGCTCAGTCTTCGTGGAAGTTTATATATATATATATATATATATATATATATATATATATATATATATACAGATTTGAAATAGTTTACAAATTCGGCGTTTATCTTGTTGTCCCCCCCCCTTATTTTTTTTTAAAATTCTATCTTACGTTATTTTTCTTCCCGTTGATGACTCTTATGTTATTTTATTTCTCTTTCTTTTTCTTCTTCGTCTTCTTTACTTTTTTTCTTTTTGCGTTTTATCTCATTTCATTTTTTTCTCTCGTGTCAGAAATTTATTCTTTTTTCTTTCTTTCTTCCTTTCTTTCTTTCATCTTAACTTCTTTCTGTTACATTCTTTAATCTTTTCTTTCTTTTTTTCTTTCTTTCTTTCTTTCTTTCTTTCATCTTAACTTCTTTCTGTTACATTCTTTAATCTTTTCTTTCTTTTTTTTTTTTTTCTTTCTTTTTTGTTTCTTTCTTTCATAATCTTTTTCTTTCTTTTATTCTTTCATCTTTTCTTTCTTTTACATTCTTTTTTTTTTTCGTTCTTTCTTTCTTTTCTTTTTCTTTCTTTCTTTCTTTCTTTCTTTCTTTCTTTCTTTCTTTCTTTCATCCTATCTTTTTTCTTTCTTTTTTTCTTTCATCTTAACTTCTTTCTGTTACATTCTTTAATCTTTTCTTTCGTTCTTTCTTTCTTTCTTTCTTTCACATTCTTTCTTTCTTTCTTTCTTTCTTTCTTTCTTTCTTTCTTTCTTTCATCCTATCTTTTTCTTTCTTTTTTTCTTTCATCTTAACTTCTTTCTGTTACATTCTTTCTTTCTTTCTTTCTTTCTTTCATATTCTTTCTTCCTTTCTTCCTTTCTTTCTTTGATAGTAATCCTTCACTAGTCATTAAGCTTTTTTCTTACTTTCTTTCTTTCTTTCTTTCTTTCTTTCTTTCTTTCTTTCTTTCTTTCTTTCTTTCTTTCTTCTTATCTTCTTTCTTTCTTTTTTCTTTCATCTTAACTTCTTCCTGTTACCTTCTTTAATCTTTTCTTTCGTTCTTTCTTTCTTTCTTTCTTTCTTTCTTTCTTTCTTTCTTTCTATCTTCTTTCTTTCTTTTTTTCTTTCATCTTAACTTCTTTCTGTTACATTCTTTAATCTTTTCTTTCGTTCTTTCTTTCTTTCTTTCTTTCACATTCTTTCTTTCTTTCTTTCTTTCTTTCTTTCTTTCTTTCTTTATTTCATCCTATCTTCTTTCTTTCTTTTTTTCTTTCATCTTAACTTCTTTCTGTTACATTCTTTCTTTCTTTCTTTCTTTCTTTCTTTCTTTCTTTCTTTCTTTCTTTCTTTCTTTCACATTCTTTCTTTCTTTCTTTCTTTCTTTCTTTCTTTCTTCTTATCTTCTTTCTTTTTTTTTCTTTTCATCTTAACTTCTTCCTGTTACATTCTTTTTTAATCTTTTTTTCTTTCTTTCTTTTTCTTTCTTTCTTTTCTTTCTTTCTTTCTTTCTTTTCACATTCTTTCTTTCTTTCTTTCTTTCTTTCTTTCTTTCTTTCTTTCTTTGATAGTAATCCTTCACTAGTCATTAAGCTTCTTTCTTTCTTTCTTTCTTTCTTTCTTTCATCTTATCTTCTTTCTTTCTTTTTTCTTTCATCTTAACTTCTTCCTGTTACCTTCTTTAATCTTTTCTTTCTTTCTTTCTTTCTTTCTTTCTTTCTTTCTTTCTTTCACATTCTTTCTTTTTTCTTTCTTTCCTCTTCTTCTCTTTGTTTCTTTAATCTTATCTTCTTTCTTTCTTTTTTTTCATCTTATCTTTTTTCTGTTACCTTCTTTAATCTTTTCTTTCTTTTTTCTTTCATCTTATTCTCTTTGTTTGTTTGTTTCTTTCATCTTATCTTCTTTCTGTTAATTTTCTTTAATCTTTTCTTTTCATCTTTCATTCTATATTTCTTTCTTTCACATACTTTCCTTCTTTCATGCCTTCATTTCTTCTTCTTCTTCTTCCTCTTGTTATCTTATCTCCTTTCTTTAACTTTTTCCTTCCTTCCTTTCTGTTATCTTCTTTCTCTTAACTTCTCTTCAATCTTTTCTTTCTTTTCAAAATCAATAACATTGAACTCTTAAAAACTATGTACTTAAATACTTAAACATGTACACTTGTACTATTTTTTGTGCCATTTTAATTTTGAACTATCTATACGTAGTTCGTATCTATCTCATTTTTCTTAAATATTTACCCATCTATCAATTTCACTCTGTTCATACCTGGCTATCTATCTATCTATCTATCTATCTATCTATCTATCTATCTATCTATCTATCTATCTATCTATCTGTCTGTATGTATGTATGTATGTATTCTAGCGAAGCAGGCGACCAGACGGTAGCCATCTTGAAACATTTTTACGAAGTCACAAAACGGGAAAGAACAGTAAGAGACAAATTTTTGCAGACAGAATCTGTCATTAATTTGATAGATGCCGATAGCCTGGTTAATATTTCACATTTATTCTTATATATATATATATATATATATATATATATATATATATATATATATATATATATATATATTATTTATTTAGTTTATGAAAAACTAGGTAATCCGTATGGGTAAACCCAAGGAGGATAAAATCCAGAGAGCTCAATGTAAATCCAGAGGAAATAATTTAAATAAAAACAGACCACTTTAAGGTTCAATGTAATAAAAATTTATTACATGGAACAAAGTAATTCTTGATTAAGCGTGTTATTCAATTAGAATAATAAATACATTATAAATACAAATGATATGAGTTGGGATCAAATATGAATCGGAATAAAACAGAATGGTAATATAAAGTATAGAGTATGACGTATGAAGAAAAAGCAGAAAGAATTTCTGCTATTTTCACTCTTGTGTTGTTTAATTTTCATTGGTTAATCATGTGTTGTGGATTCCGAGATGAAATCCAGTCTACAAATGAATGACAAACGCAATTGGTAATACGGTTAGTAGATCCAGAAATGCAGTTAGTAGCAATAATAATATATATACAGTCTGTGAAATTCAGTATCGATGTAGGACGTGCTCGCAACTGTGACTCCTACAAAGCGGTTACCTCACGCTTTTACTCTCTCACTGTTCACTGTATCAGTGTGTCTCTTGTCTAACCCCCGGGCATTCACCGGCAGCAGTACAAGTACATACTGGTCGAGTCCACTTGTATGAAAAAGGGGTGGACCCCAAAACACATGTTTCACGTGCCTTCGACTTTTTAAACCAACGTCGGTATAATTTGTAGTATTCCGAATTCGTCTAGCCAAAATTTCAAGGAATTAAAAGTTTCCAAGCCTACCTGTAAAATTGCAAATATTGCTTTATGTATGTAAGTGTATAATAATCCTACTTTGTCTATGTGGGATTTAGATGTTAATGTACATTTGTGTGTGTGTGTGTGTGTGTGTCTAGTATATATTATGTTTGGTAGGGTTTTTTTTGTATGTCGCTCTGGGAATATTTTGACCAGTTTTGTCCCTGTTTATCGTGGAACATTTAAAAGGTAAGTTTAAATATTAATGCAATACTTAAATGCAGCGATCAATTTTGAGTTCTTCTGTACTTTATTGTTTCCTATTGCATCTACTTCTCCTTACCTATTGGGATGAAGTACAATCAAGAGCCCTCTGCAGGAGCTAGCTTAAATACCAACCAACAGGGCTACTTTTAAGCTAGCATATATGATAAGATAAAAAACAAATAGGAAATGTTTATCAATCTAGTAGGTTTCACTTTTAGTAAAGCTTCATCAGAGAATGAGATATGAAGAAAAAGAAGAAAGAAATAATTTATAGCGTTCTGAATTCAAGGAGAGACGACATGTTCTTTTGAAGTTTCAAGGAATTAATATTTTCCAAGCCTACCTGAAAAATTGTAAATATTGCTTTATGTATGTAAGTGTATAATAATTCTAGTCTATTCTATGGGAGTTAGATGCTAATGTATATTCGTAAGTGTGAGTGTCTTGTAGATGTTTGTTAGTTTTTCGTATGTTGATTTGGGAACGTTTTCACGTACATGCCGTTCATTTTAGATTAAAATACTTTAGATTAATTATATACACATATAAAACTCTATACATGCAGTAAAATAAATTGTCTTGGCTAATAGAATAATCTAAAGCGCTCGGATATAGAAGACATTTGGACAGTTTTAATAAAACATATATAAACGAGTGATGGCTGCTCAAATACAAACTATATATATATATATATAAGCAGGCATTCGTTTATTACGATATAAATGTAGCGACCTGTTTGGTAAAAATTCAGAGTTTTAGTGATGAACCTGGAGTGATTGCTCCAGGGAACAGGCCTGGGCGATGGCTTATTTAAAATTCAACTAAAACCAACGACACTAATATCTATCTATCTATCTATCTATCTATCTATCTATCTATATATATATATATATATATATATATGTATTTCTCTTTTATACAAATAGATATAAAAGACATTTATCTATCCATTACCAACAATAAATTAAATAAAGGGTTAAATTTAGCAATACAGAACATAAAGATTCAAGACAAAGAATTAGACATAATTAATCATTGTAGAAAATCATTATTGCGCTACAATAAAATATGGCTAAAAAAGTATATCAGCAATAATAATGGCGTAACAAAGGGCAGTTATGATGGATCACTATATGCGAACTTATAGGTAAATATATCATCAAATGTCATTAATAAAAATGATATAAGTTTGTATAGAGATGATGGTTTAATAATTGCAAGAAATGGTAGCAAAACAGAAAATATGAGAAAACAAATAATAGAAATATTTACAAATTAGGATTTACAATAAACATAAAATCTAATCGAAAAATAGTAAATTTTCTAGACATGACATTTAATTATACATGCAAACCATATAGGAAAGAAAATAATATTCCCATGTATATGTATGAAAATGCAAATCACACACCTAATGTATTTAAGCATAAACCAAAATAAATTGCGAATAATCCTAGCAATATAAAAATATTTAATGAAAATAAAAAATATGTTGTTTAGCATTAAGAAAATTTTGTTATACAAATAAATTAGAATATATAACTAAAAATAATACAGGCAAAAATAAAAGAAAAAGATATATAATTACGTTTAATCCCCCTTATAATCATATGATAAAAACTAAAATAGGAAAATATATTTAATGAATGGAAAAACACTTCCCTAAAAATAGTAAACTATAAAAAATCATTAATAAAAATACTATTAAAATCAGTTGTAGTTGTATGAATAATATGGAGAAAATAATAAATTAACATAATAAAAAAATATTAAAAAATAATAGCAATTACAATAACACAAACCCGCAAAATAGCAACAATAATTGTAATCGTCGGAATGAACTGCCCACTTAAATGTCTGATTAATAATGTAATATATAAAGCAAAAAGTCATCCACTGCCAGGTTCAATCTACAGTGTGGCAGATGTCCGATTGCTTCAAGCTGGGATCAAAACCCGACTGATTTAATATCAGTCTGATATCTTACCTCTAGGCCATCGTTTCACGGTAGAAAGGAAGGGAATTTTAACGTTTTTCTCTATACGAAGTACGCAAGCGGCTCAGAGAACTCAATTCATACTTGACGAGTAATGCTTAATAGCAGTAGGAGCTGCCGTTTTTTAAACCCTCTTTCTTTCGAAAGCTCAACCGGATATTCGAGACCACATATTGTCATCCACAGACAGACTGTTTCGCTGTATCACAGCTCCTCAGTGTGATTAGACATCCGATTGCTTCAAGCCGGGATCGAAACCTGACTGATTTGACATCATTCAAATACCTTACCTCTAGGCCATAAACTAACAAATTAACACTTTATGGTGTCTGATGATAATGTAATTTCATTTGCTGCACCTCTTATGCACAAAAAAACACAACAAAATACAAAATTAACTCATATGAGGTATTTTGGATTCTGTTGTGTCATTTCTATTCTCTGTTACAAAAAACACATAGAGCTCCTTTCTGTTGTAGATCAGTTTAATATTTTTTATTAATGGATTATATACCAACGGATTTATTAGCAATACTATATATATATATATATATATATATATATATATATATATATATA